CATAAACTGTCTTCCTAACAACCAAAAGGGCTACAGACCTCTAAAGTATTTGAGCAAAAAAGACTCCATTTCTTCCAGTCTTGCTGCACTGATCCTTTCCCCTTAATAACTGAATTACTTTTGGGAAAGAACAAAGCAAACTTATTCTCTTATTCTGTGCCTCCCAACTTGCCTGTCATATCTAGGCAGTGTCTGTTCTCACCCTGAAAGTCATCATTGACCATAGTCTCTTTAAAAGGACAGTATTTTGAAAGCACTAAAGGCTACAGCTCCCAGAAGTGTTCACCTTTACCTTTTCTGCTGCTTCCTCTGCTAAGTTCATGAGCTTCCCCTCCTTTATTTTACTTGCTCGATTTTCTCAAGTGAGTTAGATTGAGCTAAAGCACATAGCTCAGAACCTGGGACCTCTTCACTCAAAACACCTGTCCAGACCTAAGGGCTTAAAGGGTATGAGGAATTGTTATTTAAAAGCTTAACAAAAAGACAAAGCAGTCCAACTTAAAAGGGATGAAAGGATTTGAATAGCCATTTGTTAAAACGTCTTAAATTACATTTATCTACATTTATCTACTCAGAATGTGTGTATATCTGTCTGTGCATGCATGCACATGCATGTTCTCAAATGCATACACATTGGTGCAAGTGTGGAGGTCAAAGAACAACTTTTGAGAGTCAGTTGGCTTTCCACTATGTGGGTCCTAGGGATGGAACTCAGGTCCTCGGACTTGGTAGCAAGTACCTTTACCTATTGAGCTATCTTACCAGCCCTGAATAGCTATTTCTCCAAAGACATGGCTATTTACAGGAACAATAAGTACATGAAAAGATACATCATCTGTCATCAGCAGATCACAAGGCCCCAATGTGACACCATCTCATATCCAAGAAGAGTGGCCATAACCAAAAGGACAAATACCAAGTTCTGGGGTTTTGCTGTTTGTTTGAGACAGACACTTGCTGCGAAGCCCAGCTGACATCAAAACTGGAGATTCTGCTTCAGTCTCCTGATTACTGGGATTACAGGTGTGCCATTGTGTGTTGCTGAAAAGAACAAAGCCCTCCGTTTCCATGGCTGTTGGAAGTGTAAAACGGGACAGCTACTTTTGGAACACAGCCTAGCTGTCCCTCAAAATAAAACACTGTGGAAGCCATCAATTCCACTCCTGGCTATATACTTAAAAAGAATGAAATAGTCACACAAAACTTCACATGTGAATGGTTTCAATTAACTAATGAAATCATGTAATGGAATACTCAT